CCATCCTTTGTACAACTATAGAATCTTGTGAAAACATTGTGAAAATAGAGATGATATTTGACAACGATTTGTTTGACTGCATACTGTGTTGAAGTGACATAAACTCACGAAAATTTAGGACTTGTTATTAACTAATTACACCCTTTTTCATTGTGTCATGTAGGTTCTAATGGGATACTTCAACATGAATCTACTCAATTTTAAGAAACTGAAAACTTTATTAATACCTTGGGTTCTTACAATTTCCACCTAAAAATTTTAATAATAGTAACAATAACTCATCATCAACCTATTTCAATAGACAATATTTTTAAATTCTTTGGAGCACCAAGGCATCAGTGGTGACATTATTTGTGGCATTGCAGATCACTTAGACATCTTCTATCCACAAACAAACTTCCAACAATATCAATATTTTTAAAGAGACCATACTAATTTGGATGAAAAAAGCCTTGTTTCTCTGATTTTTGCCGAGCTGTTATCACGAAGTTTGTGAACTTTTTTTGCTGCCGATCGTTTGTCCGATGCTAATTTGAATTTCAAAACAGGTGTATAATGATATCAATCAGGTATCTTTTAGTCTTATTTCCCATCACCAGTTGTATGTATTCATTCATATATGAATAAAATATAGATTTTAGGTACTTTTAAGACTTTGAACTCAACTTAAGAGAGCAAGAAACAAGGCATCACAATATCGACGGTTATATAGAGGTAATAGATAAACTTTATTTGAAAATATATTTCATTGGATATTTCACTGTTACTGAAACTTTGAAGCATCTTGTCTTAAGAGTGACCCACAAGAACTTCTCTACTAGAAGCTGTATGAAAAGTAGAAAAGGGAGTCCAATAACCAGACTTCGAATTCCTCGGGAGTTTTATGACGTTATTGAACATTATACAACTTTTCAGTAGAATCAGACGTTTTGATCGGTTGGCTTTCGTGTGTTATCAAAGTATAGATACACGGATTACGTCAAAACTAATTGTTTGTTGTATAAAACAGATAGATCTCATTTTTTCGTGCGTGTGTACTCTAATAGATACACAGATGACGTCAAAATGTAGTGAGAACAACAGTCACGCACTCGACTGCGTCTCGTGCGTACATTTTTGTTCTCACTACATTTGACGTCATCTGTGTATCTATTAGAGTACACACGCACGGAAAAATGAGGGTATTTTGGATCTATTTGTTAAATATTAAGGTCCCATAATCTTATCTGCTGAAGTTAAGGTCCGTGAAAATATAAAAAGCGAAAAAAAAAGTCATTGATATTTTAATTTAGTTGCCAGGATTGCGAATTAGACGAACTAGACGCTTTCAGAACGTATACTCAGACTGCAAAACATAGCGTTCTGAGTGATTATATAGATGTATAGCTTATTTTGTTTCTCGCTGACTGGTACGAAAGTAATTTAAATAGTGTACGTATAAATTTACATGTGACTGAAAGCCTATCAGTTTTTATTAAAGTACTGTTGACGAATTGACCGGAATGACGCAGTTATGATACGGTTTTTATTCCAAAGGTTTTTTCCTACAAAACATTATTTCCTCAAACTCTTGTTGCTGAGGTCTGAGAGTCACAATGTAGTTTTTCATATTTTTCAATATTCAGTTCAACATGTATTTCTGCTTCATATATTTGAATTTGTCATTGGAAAGCTATTGGAAGTGAAGTAATGTTGAGCTACTGCTAGCTTTTGAGCATGAATTCTTTTTACATKTTCAGAAATAGAATCTAAAATATCTAATTTCCAATAGTTATAGGATTTAATAACAGAAAAACATATGCMATAAAATGACAGATCACTGCAGCAGTTCATAGMAATCTCATTGGTTAYGGTATTATTTTTATTACTGTTGCCATTTTTGTTTTGTTTTTTTCTTTGTTTAGTGATCCAGATTCCCTTCATATTGTTGATGCTCTATGCTTAATGTTGAACATTGTTTGTTCTCTTCGCGAGTGAAATTATATTTATTACATGTAATATAACAGTGAATTTTAGATGACTTTGACACAGTTTTTGATACAAATTTTTGGACCTCACTCCTTACATTTCTGCATTTACAGAGTCTTCGAATTTTCATTGTGAAACTGAGAAGGATCTGGGTACGAGAATGACTACTGTCAAAGTTTGTTTCCTTCAAAAGTATAGTACAGTTCCCTTGTTGCAGATACAATACAGCAAAATAAAATGGCTTTTAAAAATAGTTTTTATGCAACAAAAGGAATAAGGTAGAATGAGCAAATTGACATTTTGTTTTTTGATTTATAGCTTTGTTGTTGCTGTTGTTGTCTTTGCGAAGTCTAAGCRCATCAAAAAGAAGAATGATAATTGATTTTGCATGGAATCCAGTTTTCTTTGGTTTCTGGTGAACAAATTTTGTACTTAGATTCCASCATAACGACCGAGCTAGTTTTTTTTAGATAATTTGAATTTCTACTTTATGAAATCGTGCACATCTTCAAGATAAGATAATGTTTATTTTCCATCGAAATGCAGATTTATTTCAAGTGCGACGACGATTCAGTTTAATCATTTGAGTTGCGTGCAAACGGTAATTTTGTGCAAAACGTGAACAAAGTATATGGAATTYAACGCAAATGTGATCGTCAACCTTTTTTTTTTAATTACACAGACTTAACGATAAAGGAAAAAGGTCTTAATATAAGAATTAGGTAATACCTAATAGCGGAGCTCCAATAGCAATATAGAAGGGAATGATTATCTATTACTGCTAATTCAAGGAAATAGCCTTAGTAGATGTACGCTGTTTCGAGGAACTGTATTAAAACACAACCCCAACACAACATCTTTTGTTGACATGCGAACAAATACGCATTAAATACCATATCTAGTTACTTCGAAAATAACAAAAAAAGAAAGAATAAGTACAAGAATTTCGTACTCTGAATTCATAGAATTKGATACATGTTGTTGAGTTGGACGAACTTTGTTATATTAACTCAATTAGTTAGTCTGTATCAATTTATTATTAACTGCAAATAGTCTACATACAAGCATAGTTAATAGATGGGAATGGTTCGGAAACCTTGTACTTCTTTTGTACGTATTTTGAGGTTGAATCAGTCAAGACCGTGCACAACGTTTTTCTTACGGACGATGGAAATTGCAAAATGACTAAACATAGACATCCTCTATGAGATTATGAAATGAAATATTGTGCAGGGTCACGCTCGGAAAAAAGGTGCACAAAAACCTACAACAAAAGGCTTCCTAACCATTTCACTTTTATACAAACTATGACACAAACAGTGAATCAGATTTAACTACTTAGATAGAAGCGGCAAAGGATCGGTATTTGAACCCCTTATTCGATGCTACTCGAACTTAATAAACACAGCAAACTGTACAAGCATATCTYACGTATTTTTTAACCTTGATTCTTGAACTTCCCATAAATGTTCCTCTCTCAAATACCGAGAAAATGCTATAGATATTAATGCTTTTTCATCGACCTTATCCAACGACCCAATGGCCTTAATTATCCGGTTCAAAAATATTATCATCATTAACACAAGTTTTATCAATTTATAAAGTCATTTAAGGGTGTAATTTTGTCGATTCTTTGTTTTTTAAAATATGTCTCAGTTCTGCTGGCATAATCTTGGTTTCAAAATCTCCACACTTCTCGGCGAAAAAAAATTCAGTTAGACCGTTGCTTTTCCCAATATTTTTTGAGTATTTCCAATATAGCATCATCTCTTTTCTTGTTAAAGAAATTTCAAAGCGAAAAGTCATCTTGTTATTCCTTAAAACTGAGCCCCAAAACCCTCGAGGAAAGTAAATTGCTTTTCATCTTTCGCAAATCAATTTTCCGGATGTGCAAACGCGTCGAAGAATTTCTGTGCCTTGATTTCGCTCTCCTGTGGATTTTTTGCTTTTGTTTAATTATCCTTATATTATCAATGTGAAAGATAAATGTTTGAGGGAAAAAAAATCGAAGTTTTGACAAATATTTTTGGCGATTTTTTCTTTCCTTTCGTGCGAAGTATGGGTTTCCTGTGGTACACAGACAAAGGAAAGTCCGTACGCGCGGGAACCCTGTGTCGGTCCATGAAAAATGGACTTGATGGATATACCATTTTTTTTTAACTATGGTGCTCCGCTCGCGGGAGCTCCGCTATAACTTATCAACATACTAAGAACGGTTTATACCGTGATATCGAGTAACATTTCGTTTCTGTTCATTACGCGTCTTTGTTTGGCAGTCTTAGTTTTATTTAAATTTCTTCAGTTATCGTAAGTGTAGAAGACGCTACCTATGTAAATATATCTTCGCTTAGTTCTTTCGTGTATTTCGTTTAGTTGTTTACTGTACTTTTATTTATTTATTGCAGTTTCGATTGTAGTTGGATCGTAAACGTAACCGTAAACGTTGGCAACGAATGTTAATACACGGCGTAAGGCTACACTAATTTTGAGTCATAACACAGATATTGTTATATTCAGGAAAATGTCAAGAAGTTCACAGAGTGAATGTAAGTACTATAAGCTCGATTACCACATTGCGAACTTCAAGTAATAGGCAATGTGAAGCGACATGTTTTATATCACAAAGCATGATGGGAGATGTATTCCTCGCAATGTTAATATTTCGAACTAAAATATTGAAACAAGAGTTATATAAACTATCTATTCATACGCATTTTGCAGTTTGCTCTCAGTTTCTTTGTATGCATTTTTGTAATAATTGAGTGTTAATTCACAGGGAAAAACCTTGCGTTTGACTTATACAAAGAATGGAAAGGAGAAGAAGAATTTGTGAGGAAAATGTCAGAATTTAATAAGGTTTGTAAAGATATCTTTACGGARCGCAAGAATTAGTCTTGTCTGAACACCTCAAACGCAAGTCGCAATGAAAAGATGTGATACTTTCATTCGGTTCAGAGGGAGACACAAGGATTACAGAGAAAATTCACATAAAAAAATACAGCTAAAATTCACGACAGTCCGAATCTTTCTCTTCGATTCTTAGTACAAATCAAGTTTTAACTTTTAACCAGGGCAGCCCACCCCTTTAATGATTAATTCGAAAAAAACTCCAAACAGTTGGACGCCACAGACTAGTTTACATCTTGCAATGCACGTGATCGTACGTAGTGCCACAGGTAATCCACAAGTTCAAGTCGCGCGCGCTARTCGAAGCAAATTCGTAAAGCCCGCGCATATATGCTTTTCTTGCCCTGTTTTTGACTTTTAGTTGTGTTAATTCATTAATACATTTTTTATGAATTGATAAAGTATAATAAAAATACATAATAAGTTTAGCATGCAAGGGGTGGTCTGCCTGTGTTTTCTCCTGCTTAAAGTCCACCTCACCCAATTTTTTTTATATTTGTAAAGAAAAGACTTTTGTCATAGTAACAACAATTTGTACAAACAAATTTGATTTCGTTTATTTAAACTACATTTTGAAGCGAAAACAACCGCGGACAAAGCCAATTTCGGGATTCCTGTGTGCCTGATCAATGTCTTCGTGATGACGTAGAGGGAGTAAGTCGTTCGAGAGACAACGATAGATACTTACAGTGAAATGACAGTAAAAATCAAATCTGAAACGAGAGAACCTGGAATTTGAACAGCTGTAAATACTACCTACATATATTGAAAGAAGTTACTTACCTGGGGCCGTAAATAACTTTTCCTGTTCCTCGATATTTATCTAGATCTATACGCAACACTTGTTTGTCCAGAATATAAGCTTAAATCTCTCAACACTTTGGCTCCATTTTTATAGCCAAGACATGAAATAACGTTCAAATCGTCAGAATAATCTCTAGTAGCATTAGATTTGCCGTTTCAGGCTGGATTATCCCACGTTCAGTCTTAGAAAACATAGATTTGTAATGAAATATGTGGAACTTGTACAGTAAACTTTGTATTTACCAAAGGACGAGTTACTCCATCTACGTCATCAACCCAGGCTCCCTCGCACTCGGCCAAAAATCATTTGGCCGAATTAAACGTGCATAAAAAATATAAAATTTGGAAATTCGAATTTTTTTTATGTGAATTTGTGGTTTATAACTCCTAAACTTTTTTTTCCAACTGTAAAAAAAATTGGGTGAGGTGGACTTTAAACAATATGGTTATCCAACACAGTTGGCATCTCAGTTTGAGAGCAAGTAAGCACAATTATTATGAAACTTCGGATGCGTTYCTGTTACTTTTGTCACACCTCTTATTTGAAAATAACTAATTGTTGCTTTTGACAMAGGATCCTCCACCACCTGGTATCTTTAGCAAGGCACAGCTGATTACAAATTTGACCAAACTAGAAACTGTTTTTGGTCTAAAAGCTCTTTGTTCTGGAAAACGGGCAACACATCCTAAAGGATTCGGAGCGTTCGGTCAAGTAACGATCGTCAAGAATCCCAAATTTCCAGAAAATAATTTCTTTACGCCTGGTAGAACATTCCCAGTTCGTTTGCGTCATACCAGTGCTCGCTTTGAAGATAACACAATGGCGGACTTCAGAGCTGCTTCCTTGAAATTTGCTGACGATAATGACGGTTCGCCTCTAGATATCATCATGAGTACGGGATGTGTGGGACTTTTCAGTTCTACACAATCTCTGTGGGAGATAATAAAGGTTGCTGCAGGAAAACTTACCTACAAGGATTACCTTCTGCTCAACCCCATAAAGTAAGTCTTACGATATTGGAAAATTAGTATGGATCAAGYCAATATCTTTGTTATTGTCTTCTCTTCTATCAGCGTACTTGTCGARTCCACATACTTTCACAAAAAGASATGTCACCGAAATACGTATCAACTTTGAACGAAATAGCACTTAAAAAACAAATTTTGACAAAAACACACGACGTCCAAGTGCTACATTCCACTGATTTCGTACGCTTCAGTTATATAAACCAATATTTCCAGATAGCTATTCAGCTTTGGCATAGTATAGTGTCCATATGATCGACCAAATCGTCCCTATAGCTCAACAAGCGATTTTGCCTTGTTCTAGTTTTCTCAGGAAATTAAAAGAAAACACTGTAAAACCGCTTTGGACGATTAAAGGACACTAAGCATTAATAACACGTACAATATATTCAAGCCTGCATTTATAACAATTAACTTATTTTGAATAGTTTGTATACAAACATCGATGGGATTCGCCGAGTACCTGACTCATGCACAGATCAGGTCTACTATTCACAAATTGCTTTCCACTTCAAAGCAAAAGATGAAAAACAGCGTTACGTTAAATACAGACTAATGAATGCTGAAGGACGTCCAGAAACTGGACTACTGACTGAAGAAGAGCAAAGAAGTGTTTGGTTAGTGATTCCCTTTGTCAMTTCATCTTGTAGAATCTTCTCAGAGGATAATTTTGTATCAACTTTAATTAGGGATCGAGATCGCTGTCCAGGAGAAAAACGTACCAAGGACTATCTGAAAAAAGAATTCGAAGATCGCCTTTCCAAAGGACCTGTCAACTACAAGTTACAACTTCAGCTTCACGAAGTCAATCCCAATGATAGTCCACATATCCTTAATGCTGCTAAGGCCTGGGATGAGAACACACACCCWTGGATTGATCTTGCTGATGTAACCATAACGACTTTGCTTGCTGATGACGTCATTGAGCGTACAAAATATAACATCTCAAACACTCCACCCTCGTTGTCCGTGGTTGGTCCCCCTGAGTCTATTTATGACTTCAGATGCATCCCTTATTACCGACAGCGAGTTTACAAGCAAAGTCAGAGAATGCGACTTTTAAGAGGTCCTCGTCATCATGACGACAATTGCTGTTCATACGTCATTCAGATTGAAACAGGGGACGTAAAATACGCTGRAACAGATGCAACCATCACTCTCACAATGACAGGTAGATTTTTCTCATTTGTGTTGACGCTACGTACAAMAGACCCAATTTGTCAATATTCCACGTTTTTTCAAGGTTTATTATATTATACATTCTTTACAGATTATTGTCTCTTTGATAACCCAGGGGGTTGATAGTAATATCCACTGACGCATAAATTCTTATTCATAAAAAAAATCTATGGAGTGAATAACTTAGCCCAGCCTTAGTACAATTAGTTACAATTGGATCGTAGCTGTTCATTCATTTTATACTTGGATTATCAGACCAGGTTTTACGCCAAACTCAATGCGCCTTTTACTTCACACAAATTWTTTTAAGAAGTATGCATTACATTTTGCACAGGTGAAATTCGACGTTTCAGCCTGGTTCATAAAAGGATGTTTTGTCGACTTTTCATGCAATTTATTTAGGTTGAAACAAGAGGGATTTTAGAATACCAATCAGTTGACATGACGGATGTCGTCTACAATCTATTTTGAATCTTTATTACGACATGTTGCATTWTTGGGCGATCTTAATCGACTTTGGGTCCGTGTGTAGACCTTTAGTCATTTTAACTAATAGTGATTACTCTCCTATCATATTTATTTTGATATGGAGAACCGTCAGTTTTTATGATGTTTTTATTAGCTCCGTCTGTTTACCATAACTATTTGTAGGTTCCAAAGGACGTACAGATGCCATTATTTTAGACAAGCGTCTCTATAATGACTTTGAACGAGGCGCCATTGATGATTACAAGATAACTACAATGGATGTTGGTGAYCTTTACCTGATTTACTTACAAAATGRCCAAGATGGAGTATTTTCTGACTGGTTTGTAAGCAAGGTGACCATTCTCAAAGAAGGTTTAGATTTACCCTATGAATTTCCTTGTTACTCGTGGGTCTCAAAGAAATTGGTGGCTTTTCATGGTGCAGGTATAACAAAATCAAGCAATAAAAGTAACCACGCAATGATTTCAAAATGGAATTAGTTTACATAAATGTTTACTGATCTCGATTCAATTTTGTAGTACTAATATCTAGTTATTTGTACTGATATTTATGAAAAACGATACTATTCTAATAGGTAACTATTATTTTCATTTATTTTTCTATCGTTTTAGGGGTGMTTCTCCATCAGGACCAGCCCGACATCGTAAAAATCGAGCGTCAAATGCAAATCGCCGAGCGTCAGGAAGAGTACAAATGGCTTCCCATTGAAAAGAAAACTCCAGACTTTCCAGGTTGCATTAATGCRACGAAGCATGATGACATCCCACTAAATTCACAGTTTTCTGATCCTTCAACAAAGTCGTTCAATACWGGTCGACTTCACGCCGTTATGAATCTTGGTCTTAGCTATTTGATGACTTTGACAGAAAACTGGGATTCTTTTGATGACTTCAAGAAAATGATTTCCAGTAAGAATATTTTTGTGTCAACATTAGCTTATTTCCATACGTACTGCACAGAAGGTGTTTTAAAATATGCAATCTAGGCAAGAAAGATAGGCCTCCACAACTATGATAATTTTTGCTGCTTGGTAAAGACGATTAACCCTTCCGTTTTGATGTGAATAGTGGGAAGATTGAAAAACGTTAACTGTGATAAAAGGCTATAAGTATAAAAGTAAGTGGTCATTTCGTGTTTCTTGGCAGGCTGGGTAGTAGAAGACAGACCTAAATATGCTGAAAATGATGCTTGGATGGACGACGCCGTATTTGGTATGCAGTTCTTGAACGGTGTCAATCCCATGATGATTGAGCGATGTGACAAACTACCTGAAAACTTTCCTGTCACTMACAAAATTATTGGAAACTTGTTGGATCGTGGTCTGAGTTTGGACGAGGAAATAAAAGTAAGTCTGTTTTTAGTTATCACAGGAGAGCAACAAAAATAGAACTTTATTTCGAGCATCTTTTGCAGATTTTAATTACAGCACGATGCTTGACATATGCACCTATCAAAAAAAGCTAAAAGTCTCGTAATACGGCTTTTTCCCGTTCAAAGGATTTAGTTGACAACCGTCTCTCAAGTGCAGAGACCTTACCAAAAAGAAAAGAAATCACGACAAAAAAATGTTGTCATTACAATAGCGCTAAGCCTGTTTTCCCAGAAGGTTCAACGTCTTGCTCAGGCTAAGAAGATTCAACTTTCTAGAGCYATTGTCATGTCAACATTTTTTCGTGCTTTCTTTTGTCATCTACGCAAGTCTGTTGACTACTAAAAAACAGCGGTCGGTCGCATTGAACTGGAAAAAGGCTTATTGAGCTTTGTAGCAATACAGAGAGATCTAGAAAACATGTGTAGAAAGACCTTGGTGGATCTAGAGTTGTGACATATACAAACAGGTTTCTAAAGGATAACACATTGGAACAGGTGTTATAAACATGCTACTATAGAGTACGCGCCTGAAAGAGTGGAAAGAAAGTGACTACAATACCTTGCAAGTTACTGCAATGCGTTGCTAAAAGTATGAATATGAGGACCGTATGGCACTATCATGCACATTAGAAATTAAGAAAAGTTATAGTGTTTAGAAGGAGGTTATATTATTCCGGGAGAAAGAACCTTGGAAATAAATTCGGAAAAATTAATTTCCGATCTCGCTGGGATTCGAACCCACGAACCTCGGATTCGTACACCAATGCTCTACCAGCTGAGCTACAAGGTCAGACTTGGAGCAGATTGGGGTGAAATAGTCGTAATAGCCGAATTTATTTCTAAGGGTCTTTTTCCCGTGATAAACTCCTTCTAAGCACTATAACTTTCCTTTATTTCTATATTATGTTGCTAAATGTAGACCTGCATGAGTTTTACTTCGTGCAACCGCTACTCATAAAAAAGAGTTGCGAGTCTCCGCTCACGCACTTTTRCCGTTCTCCAGCAAATTACTTCGCAACGGCTTTGCGAAACTCGTTGCTAAGAAATTGCGCATGAAACAGCACAATAATAATAATAATGCAATTAATTTTGATTATTTCTCTTGTCTAGGCTGGTCATATATATATTGTGGATTACGCAGTTCTTGAGGGAATTAAGCGTAATGGGCAGGGTACCAAGAATGTCCGTTATGTTACAGAACCTCTTTTATTGCTGTATGTAAACAGCAAAAATGATTTAGTGCCAATCGCTATTCAGCTCTTTCAAAAGCCATGTGAAGAAAACCCAATATGGACTCCCAATGATGACAAACTGGACTGGCTTTTTGTGAAAATGTGGGTGAGAGCTGCGGATCTTCAAGTTCATCAGGTAACTTTATTGACGTTACTTTTTGATCAGCACTCTATGCAAAAAAGAAGCCAGATAATAGTCAACATCGAGAGCTGCACGGGTTGGCYAGTGACGTGAAGACAAAAGCCACAACAAAGTTTCCATTCATCATGTTCATCATGTTGCACAAATTGCTGACAACATTTGATTCAAATTGTGTCCCACATAAAGGAAATGCTTGTGGACGCATTGAAATTTTCAATTCTACAWTCAATTTGATTCTTCGCATGATTCAATATCACAACAAGTGACTTGCAATTAATCATCTTTTTTTTAATGTTTTGTATTTTTCTAATAACTGATATTGTCTTARAAAATTGTTTACAGACAAGGCGTCCATTGTATAATTAAAAAAACAAGCTCATTCGTATTTTTCAAGCCAAACTGAAATGCTTTCAAAGTTAAATGCCTTGCATTTATTTCAGATGATAATTCACTTGATGAACACACATCTCATAATGGAGTGTTTTGCTGTAGCAACATGGAGAAACCTTCCTTCCATCCATCCAATTTTCAAGTTACTATTCCCWCATATCCGTTCCATAATGGCCATCAACACCTTGGGTAGAAAGGAACTCATCAGTAAAGGTGGMATTTCTGACATCACCCTCTCCATTGGAGGCGGAGGCCATCTCGAATTGATACAAAAGGCYTTTCGCAGGTTCACTTGGGACATGGTGGACATCCCAGCCAATCTTGAGAAGAGAGGACTAATGGACAGTTCAAAGCTTCCTCATTTTTATTATAGGTAGGTTGCCATTCAGCAGACTGTCACGTTAAACAATCAAAATTGTTCCAAGGCCATAACTATCACGAGGCGTGCGGGGCGACAATTTTACTTATTATGTAACATAGTAGTAAATAATTTCTAGCATCGAAAAGATCAACCATGAGTTATTATCAATGAAACGTTAAAGGGCGTACATCATAGCACGTTCACTTATTGAATGCTTTCTTTTACTAATAATTTCTAGCACCGTAAAKATATTTTTATAACAAGCAAGCCTAGCAATTCATGGGTATCTATGAGTAATCATTTGTTATTATGAACGTAACTTGTAAGGGGCATRCATCATCGTAATTTTATTTACTGAATGCTTTATTTTATTTTAAGGGATGATGCTCTAAGGCTATGGTACGAAATAAGCAGTTTTCTCAGGAATTTCGCTCAATTGTATTATGCCTCTAACGACGATGTCATCAATGACACAGAGATTCAGGCCTGGGTGAAGGATGTCCATGTCAACGGTCTATCTACTTCACAGGGTCACGTGGACCACAAATTTCCCAAGAYCATTCAGTCAATTGACGAACTTGTTCATCTTTTGACATGCGTAGTGTTCACTTGTTCATGTCAGCATGCCGCGGTTAACTTCAGCCAGCTTGAAGTTTATGCGTTCATACCCAACGCCCCTCCAACCATGCAACTACCTCCTCCAACAAASAAAGGAGAGACAACAATAAAGAGAATTATGAATACTCTTCCAAGCAAATGGCAAACAGGATGGCATATCGGAACTATGCATACCCTTACTCGCATTTCTGAGGATGAGGTAATGTTGTCATCAGACTACATATCATTAGTTCCGTTTCCACTTTGWAAGGGATTTATTTCATAGGAAATTYATTTGTCGTTCATTTAGAGACTCTATCTTCTAACGCTTCTTTTTATATTATTTAAAAATATGTTGGTTTCTGAGATTTTGGCATGCAAAAGACACTTTATCCAAGTTGTATAAGTTATCTATGTTTTTTTTTTCAGTTTTGTTAGCAGTCCCATGATTAATRAATAGTTTCAAACATAGTACTGATCAGTTTTCTTTCTATTTTTATTAAAATAGAAATTCCTTGGAGATTATACAGATGGATTGCTCGTCGATTCCAAAGCGCTGGACATCATTGCAAAATTTCAAGACAATCTGCAAAAGATTTCTGATGCTATCAAGCTGCGTAACAAGTCTTTAGAATGGCCATACGTTTACTTGCTGCCAGAAAGAGTTCCAAACAGCGTGGCTATTTAAAAGTTAACCAATAACTTGCCGCCTTTAAATATTATACAGTATTAGTTTTGTTATCTTCGTTGGAAGTAATGTTTAAAGTCCGACACAATGAGGACTTGACGGGATTTCAAGTCCGCGCAATTAGTTCCAGTCCGAGTCTTTGTTTGATATTTATGGCATTCCTAATGAGCCTCATTCATAAGATTTATAAGTATGTTATCTTCCCAGGAAGCGCATCAAAAGGACGGCTCATATAGACTTAGGGTATAGACGGTATAGGGGATCGAGTCGTGAGGGAGTCATGTATTAAAGACCTTTTATCACAAGATTAATGTTAAACTGATTATTTCTATTACTTTTATTATCATTAGCTAGTAGTAGTTGGAAACATGGTAGAAGTAACTGGAAACAAGGTAGAAATAGCTGGAAATTATGTAGAAGTAACTTGAAAAAGGTAGAAGTAACTGGAAATAAGGTARAATACAAGGTACGATTACTTCCTCTGGTTTCAAGTTACTTCACGTGGTATAAATTATAATCAGGGATTGGCTGGATACCTCATGAATAATTAATAACTATGAGAATTGAACGTAACCCTTTTGCAAGATATACTCATACTTTCTTCCTTTATCGATGTACCTTATGTCTATTTAGATTATATAATAAGCAAAATATTACATCGTGATCTATTGGATTTTATCTCCAATTGTTCCAATTATATCCCATGAGTGAGCAAAGCAATCATCTAAGCAGCACCAATGATTTTGGCAAAAGTCAAGAATTTACTAAAGAAGTATGGACTAAAGGTCATCATTAACCCCAAGTCACTGAACAATTTTTTCATACACTCCCCTTGTTAAACACTCCCTTTCCCAATAAATTTAGGTTTTCCATACGAATTTGATATTACACATTCAGTAGCAATTCATACTGCTGTTAGATCTCACCACCCAGAGCCTAACACAAGTCTCTCATGGAGAACCGGACGGCGCCAAAGGACAAACACCACCCACATGCGAGGGAGAAACTGAAAAGCCCTAACACAAGTCTCTCATGGAGAGCCGGACGGCTTTGGTTGTGCACATTTAACACTTCGGTGATTTTACTTTTTAGTGCGCATGCTCTCACCGCTGGATCGTTTTCCGTTTTTCGTTGGCAGTGGAAGAACTTTACGGTAATAGCTAATACTCATAAACATCGTTGTTTGTACAGAATGGGATCTTTCAACGAACAAACAGCGTCAAATATTCTTGTTTAATAGTTCAAAAAAGCATTCCTAATGATTAGCAATTAAGATAGTGTGACTCAATTAATTTTRCAAATACAGTACTAAATACAGTACAGTAATGCATTGCAGTATTACTGTAGTCATAAACATAACAAAGTCACATTCAAAGAGCTTTKTTTTCTCTATAGAAGGCTGAATGTCAGTAGAAGTAAGAGTAACTGCATTGCTCGTCCTTGCGAAAAAAAAAATAGAACATAAAACGCCAAAAACGAAACTCTGGGAGACTGCGGGGCACCACGTTAATGATAGAGCAATCAAATATCATTCGTTTTTGTCCTGTTCGTTCTATGCGCCCTTATCGTAAAATGTTTTAATGTCCAGCGTTGCTGACAAAGTTTTTAAAAAGAGCGACCAACACTGCAAATGTTATTTTTACATGAAAGCGCACTAACAGGGGAGGAGGCTACGGACTAAAAAGTGACGTGATAATCCTTATCGGCGATGAATTTTTATTTGATAAAGGTTATTACGCATAATTCAGCTCCATGTATAGTTAGTCTTAATCATTYACAAGCACGTTAAACTGACAACTTGTTATTAATCGTAAAAATAGATCTAATAAAAGTTATTCAATTTAAGTGTCCGCTTACGGGAGATTGAAAACAACAGAAAGGTCATCGCTAAAAGTATCCGCGTCCGCTCACGAGAAAGTCCGCTAATAGAAAGTATAAATACAGTGTTTGCACGGGGGGAAAACGGGGTTTTGAAAAAGCTATCCGTAAGTAGAACTGTCCACCTACGGAAGCGTCCGTAAGTAGAGATTCAACTGTACTTGGAAGCATTTCAGTTTAGTCTGTTAGTCGGCTAGTAAAACTTCTGGTAAAACAAGTTCGCGAATTTTCGATACTTTGCAGAGTTTGTCCATGATGCTTCGRTATATTTATGGTTCACCAATTTCATAATGAATCAAGTTTTCCATCCATTATATACACTTAGACCTCGAGGTCGAGTRGGTACGAGGCCGAGAGGTCTAATTGTTCTAGCCTTTGGCTAGTCCGACTAAAAAAATCRTTAAAATGGTTCTTAAGATATCGATTTGACCAGAAATATTTCTAAAATCTAATGGATTCAGTAGTATCAATGATTGTGACCAAAAACTCAGCTCAACAGCAAGGACGAAAAGTGATCAGTTACTGTAAGTTATGAGCTTTTTGTTATCCACTTCGCAGCTGGCAGTCATGTTGTTGGTCACTGTTTTCTTTCCACTGAATAAGAAAGACCCGGAGGAAAGACCTAAAAATTGGTATGCAATGCCCATGTACATACAATCTAGCAGTTGTAAGGCAGAAAGACAACGACAAAGTCATTTTTATAATTATTTTTTCATATATAAATTATAGCTTTTCTGAGTAAGTCTTCGAATCCTTATGAAACCTGTTCAATCACGTGTGGACCGACACCATGTTGACATTAAATAATTTCTTCGGGGGTGGAAGGGGAATACTTCAACTTAACATATTCCGTATTCAGCCATTCTCCAGTTGTGAATATTCACATTCCTTGATAATATTCGGGAGGATATTCTTTATGATTTTAGTTTTTTTTAAGTGCTAGGTAGCAGTTAACCCTTTCACCGCCATTGTCGACATTTGTCGACGTCGACGTATGCCTCTCTTTAAAAAAATATTATTCTATTAATTGCATAGCAAATGAACTAATTATGTTTTGGTTGGGTTGTCCGTGAAATTATACAGCTGCTAATTCATAAAGTAAGCACCATAGGGTTTCTTTGTGGTGAATGTGGTCCCTTAATTGAGGGCGAAATCTGGCTGCACGCTTTTCGACGTTAGACAAGAACACTAGAAAAAGSCTAAATATATTTTAAATTTTACTGCAAAAAATCCCTCAATCATGCCAAAATACAACATTTGAAAGAAAGTTCAGCCCTYCTACTTTGCATTGATGTGTCTTTTGTAACCAGTTTCATTGAACAAGCCGAGAAAGAGCTCTTTCYTWAGGGTYCATTCCAYGAGACAAGTGTTTCCTTGAACTTCGCTTGCAAAGAATTCCGGGTAACGGTAAATTTTTTGGACAGAAAGTACCCCACACCTTCCATTTTAAAATTTTCTTTAAGTGTCGAGTCATTCGCTCCTACCAGGAAAATTTCAAGAAGATTCCTCTTTTTAGAAGCCAAAACATGCAAAAATATACACGGTAGGTTGCGAAGTCAAGCACAAGACAGCCAGGGAGACGACTTCACTTAAATGGCGCCATTTTACACAAATCAACGGTTGCTCGCCATTTTCTTCGTAAAATCGCTTCCCACTTCTGATTTCTTCCAGAAGATCGCTTCTGCCACAATAGTCAAGCTTTATGATGCAAGTCTAGGGGCTCTTGTGCGAGAACTTGACTTCAAAAACACCTAAAAACCGATTTTTCCTGTGTTTTGAACGAGCTGATTGCTAGTCAAAGCCACGAGCAAAAATCTTACAGGCATCCCTTGCAAAAGTAAGCCTTCAGTTATCACGAACGGCAGCTGTTTCCTTGACAACCTTAAGATTAGTCCCGAAATCATTTTTAAATCATTCTGCCTTAAAAACAGTCAAATTTAACCACAATTATTCGGCGGTAAAAGGGTTAAGTTTCATTTGATAGTGACACGCATGATCAGAACCACAGGGAGCCCGAATTGGCACAAACTATCTCGGTTTCCTACGCAATTCAGTACGGTTTTGCTCCTGCTTTCGTATTTACTGTCATGTAAATCCGGGATAACTGAATCTGGTTTTGTTTTCAAATTTAAACGTAATATATCCGGGATCTCATTGCACTCAAATCAAGGCAGTTATTAAAGTTTGCACCTGATCACTACCCCAGGTGAACGAGTTTGCATCTCCGTCAGATTGTTTTCGTTTGTTTTGGAGACACTTTAATTTTGAACTGAAACTCTCAAGRAAACCAGTCTAGACAAGATATGACGAGAAAATATGATCTACCGGTAAAGCGAGCTTTAATAATGTCATTTTGAGAATTGTACAACAATTGCGACTAAATACATTTTACTAGTGAAAGTTGGCGAAACATTCTTATCAAGGGCGGATCCAGCTGAAATTTTAAGGGGGGAAAGGGGGCTAAATAGTTTTAAATGGACTTTATTTGTTACAAACAACATTGAAAATAATAATAATAAAAAGACAGTTTACCTTTTATCTCAAAGGAGAGGCTACAGCCCCCCTTTGCCCTCCCTGGATCCGCCCTTGCTGATAGTCGATTGAGCAATAATTACAAGAATTACCAGCCTAGCTATCTGATTTGCTTCCCGACACTGCTGATAGAATTTCTTTGTGACTACGAAGCAATGATAATACATGGCTTCCAAGCTCTTCGTCCTACAAAAAAAAACGAAAAGACAATTGATAAACTTTGGGTTAGGGATAAACGACTATTTGTTTCTGACTATTTTGTCCGAGTTTTAAGATACGAAGCAAATCTTTGTAGTAAAACACATAGAAGGAGTTTAATTATTACAGGAATAACATAAATACACTGATATTGTTTGATTTAGCACATTTAGCAAGTTCAGGAAGTCGCCGTAGGTTGCTTGATTCACGGTAAGCCGCACAAATCGTGCAAAAATCGGGTCTTGTTTTGAAGTCGCAATAATGGCAAGCCCTCTCTCTTGATGTAAAGGATTACTGTCAGTGTGTTGACAAAGAAACTTGAGAAAAGAATAAAGGGCTTTTATCCTGTTGCAACTTAAATGTACAGAACAAATTCTATAGAGTGAAGCTCTATGCACCACACTGTCTGCGCCACATAATCCCCCCCCCCCCCCCCGCATATCATAGACCTTCACTAGGTTTTGAATCTGAGACAAAGACAGATAGCAGCATTCGTTTTTCCAGCACACGTCTTTCCATGTGGGATAAATAATGATACAACATTTTCTCTATTGCAATAAATTGCGCATGCTTAATAGCGACTAAATTCACTAGTTACCTTGTTTGTCATTTTCAGCATTTTTCTCATAGTAATTCATGTTGTTTAGTGTTGGCATTTCATACGTCTTTTACAGCATTCGCGTCCGTGTCGTATGGGAATTTYCACACTGTTCTACAATTCCCACGCAACACSGCCGCTCATGCTGTAAACATTACATACACCTTAGYACGCTCTAATTGCATTGTTTTCTTTTCTTTTGTTTTCTTATAATTGGCTATCTCACTTAAATGAGTCGAATTTTGTTTCACAGGTTTAAYGATTTCACGCTAATAAATTGCCTTAATTGACGACAGCAAACTAATTTTGTCAAACCTGAAAAGCCCAAGACACCAGGAGACTACACGTGGTTGGTTGAACTGCTGTTCTATCGTCACTACCACTTCCACTTAACTACAAACAAAACATAAAAACTACTATAACGACCAACAACATTGATGCTTAAGTTAGACTTGAATCCTTTTTCATTATATTTTGTTTTCTTATATCTTATTTTACCGACCTTGACAAGCACAGAATCAATCGACAGACAGCCACCCGCTACTCTCTGTATTGTATAGTTTGGTAGYAATCTGGAAATATACATTGACATGTCATAAGTAGAGTGGAACACTMAAAGACTAATATAGAATATATGATCATAAAATATACAGCTTTTCAAAATGCGCTAACACGCTGAATACTGCATGTATGTATGTATGTAATACTGCATGAATACTGCATGTATACTGCTTTCTCGGGCGACTTTTGTTTTTCGGGGCATCTAGATTTCGCGAGYTATCACAGCTTAATGCCCTTGTATCTTTTAAACAGAACAGTTCAGTGTTTAACTTAATTTTGATGCCTAGAATATTCTAAGAAAACTTGCCTTCCAAGATGAGAGTGTAATCTGTCTAAAATCACGTGACTAGGCTCGGTGATTTCCATGGTAACAGTTGATGTGAATCGCAATTGGTGCGGTGTAAGACCAAGCTCCTTCATGGCTTCTTCGGATTCTAATAGTCGAAATGACTTYAGCGAAAAATAAGGAAAAACAATGAAAATCAGTCCATAAAACATTATTCACGATACAGTTGTGTAAAAATTGAAATTTAACATCGTAAAAAAGTAGGTGAAACAACTTACTGATGTTTCCAAGGTCTTTCGAAAGTTAATCCTTTGTCTTTTTACTCCGACGAAGGATTAACGTTCGAAACGTCAGTAATTCACCTACTTTTTTACGGTGTTAAATTTATCCTTTTACCTTTTTTAGAAACACAGACGCAGCTCACACTAGTTTACCGCTAGTTCCCACCTTAYTACGATAACCGCTATGATGGCTTTCAACATACAAGTTAGTTATTCGGTCTATTTTGTTACTATTTTTTGAACTATTTTGAAATCTTTGTAACTAGAATTTCATTGTTCAATTATTAGCACGAGGACAGAACGTATCGTTCCACAAAAATGGTAGACTGTGTGTCGGCTAGCGTTTGCTTTCTATGTATCTAATATTTATATTTATCTATATCTTCCTCCAAAACATTTGYGTGTGTGTTTTATGTGTGTGCGTGTTATCTGTAACATATCTCTTTCCGTCGAATTTAGCTTCGTCATCTTAACAAAATGTAAAATGCATAACTGTTTCCTGGTCCTAACCCATTTTTAGCTTCCAAGTTATTTGTTAGGTCCAGTACCTACTGTAATTTAATTTAGTCAGGATCACAATTGTAAACTTTTGTCAAAGGTACAAATAAAGAGTTGTTGTTGTTGTTGTTGTTGTTGTTGTATGTTAAATCATACAATGCAATCGTAAAAGGTAGCCGGGACAGAGGTTTTGCTTGCAATGATAGATACTTAACCAGTGAATAATTGTCTTTGGTGTGAACAAAAGGTATCTATCACTGCAGGCTCAACTCCTATCTCGCCATGATTGAAAGGCTTGGTTAGCATTCATGATGGAAAATAAAATCAGACCATGTATAAATCACGATAACAAATGCTTGGACTAAGTGGACTTACGTTATCTTTCATTACAAGTACCCCTTGCAGTGGTAAATGGTTGTTATTTGGAGTGAGTTTTGCTCTTTTGACATCTAAAATGCAGAAAATGGCAGGTGAGTGGTGCGGTACTGTCAGAAATGGGAAATGAGTCTATTATGGCTGTTATTTGTCAATAAAATGGGACAAAACAGGGAAACGAGGAACAGGGAAAAAGTAGCATACATGATTTGGTTTAGAAGAGGAAGAAGACTGACATTAAGTGAATTCAAGAGAGGAGGACCGGAGATAAATAAAAGACGAGGATCAATAAGGAAAACAAACTAAAGAATAGGATAAATAGAAAAACATTAAAAGTTAAGGGAAACGGACAATAAAAAGCAGAGGAAAAAGACATAGAGGAATAAAAAATAAAAGGAGAATTAGATAAAGAGGAAAATAGAACAGTAATAAAAAATGTAAAAGCAAAGAAAAAAATCACAGAATGACGATYTGCAAAGAAGWAAGTGACATGAAAAACARGCAGAAAGTGTCTGAGAAAGTGGGAGAAGATATATAAATTCACGTAATTTTCGAGAGAAAAAAACGYAGGTTGATAGATATTAACGATAGTTTGTCCTTACCAGGCCCTGCTACAGATTCAATCTTTCTTTTCAATAAGCTAATTGCCATGTCAACAGTAATACTCGGCGTGGTGGGAATGGCTATTGATTCTCCATTGGCTGGCTTGTAACACTGTATATCTTCAAGGAAACAATCAGCAAAATACCGAATCAGCGGTARTCATCAGGAATTGAAAAGGTCTCTGGTGCGAGTTAAAATGTCAATGATTTTTACGTTTATATGTATCAAGCCTGTAATTCATTATTATCATTACTGCCAGTGTCCTTAATAAACAGTATTATTATATTTTTATTTTTCAGGCAAAAATTCTTAGAAAGTATTTCTTGCTGGCGGGCTCTTTTTTCCTCGATTTCTCGCTGGCGACCAGTTGTGATTTACAGCTGGCTGGGACATAAGAACAGATATACTTCGCCAAGGAACCCGTCGGCTCCTCGTAAAACGTATAAAACTCGAAAAAAAAGCCAATACGGCCGGTACGTTCCCCCCAAAAAAAGTTYTGCTCAGTGTCATATTTTGATTGAAGAAAAGTTGTAAATATGAATCCACTATGAATTTATAACAAAGAACTTTAATGGTAGCCTGTGTACATCCGTTTCTCACCCCTCAAAAAAGGGGATGTACACAGGCTACTTTAATGGTGTCTAAAACGATAAAATGTCGTATACCTGTACGTTGATGTTTATTTAAATACTTACTAAATTCTTGCATTATCTTTTGACGTAAGAAATCCATCTTTCCTGATTCACCATGAACAAGGACAACACTTTTRGGTTCGGCCTGAATCAATGAATGCTATCAGCAATATTTTGTTGTATTTGCAGAAATTTAAAAAGACGTTGACTGATACGGCTTTATAGTGTGTCACTATACAGTAGCGCAGTAGTCTTTATACAAAGCTTTTTGAAATAGCTGTACACAAAAAATCACACAAGTGTCGAATTTGAATCAAATAACTGTCTGATTGTGTTATGTGTAGTAAGTAATTTATGTATTTTGACTTGTCAATCCTAAATGTAAAATCAACTTACCTGACGAATAAGCTGCATGATTCCTGATGCATCAGCATGAGCACTGAAGGACATATACTGAACAGATAGCTTGACATCAATCTAATGGACAGACAGACAGACATTTACTGAACTGATAGATTGACATCAATCTAATGGACAGACAGACAGATATTTACTGGACTGACAGATTGACATCAATCTAATGGACAGACAGACATTTTATTACTGGAATGATAGCTGGACACCAATCTTATGCCAGACAGACATACAGATTTACTGGACTGATATGTGGCCACCGACCTAACAAATACTTCCCTTRATTGTCATAATCTAACCATGACATACCACATTCTTTTTGTCCAGTTCAATTTTTTTCTGACCAGCGAGAACCTTGTGACCAACAGTGCCAGCAACACAATATCCTGGTATGACAACCTGCAAAAACATAAAGTAGTAATTTAGAGTCTTTAATTTGAAAGTTAGGACGAATATATACGAAAATATATAAAATTGTACTAATTAAAATAACAGAAAAGATTTGAACTTGCCAAATATATTAAGTTAMATGAATACACTCATTAAATACAGCCAATACATTAAGTGTAAGCAAACTATTTCATGAATTGTATTCAAAAAGGAAGCCAAAGTCCACCARTCAATAAGGTCGTTTATTAACATATTCATTCAAAATTAATAGTACAAACCGTTTTTMAAACAAAGAAATCGACAAACAGCCACTTTCGCAAACTATGTGAATTTCAATGATCCACTTTTTTTCCAAAATCAACTGTAGAMCAGATCATCTACCAACTGAAGATACCATTATAACAGTTTACTTAGAATTTGGAGACACATGAAGATCAAACTAACCATGTTGTTTTCATTAGATGCCCATTTTTTAAATATCTGAAGAGAAAGACCAGCATGTAGCATTCCAGGTGTTGCAAACACAACCTTCAAATAATAACAAAAACAAAACTTATMAAAAAGGGAGGGGATGCTTACTGCCCCTTTAGGGATGGAAATCATTAGTGTTACAGTTTCACTTAGTCATGAGAATGAACAAAAATGCAAATGTCCCTTTTAGAAACAAAAGTCAATTATGTTTATTTTTGATGACATTGATCTTCTTCATTTGAAGTTGGTATTAATGGACAACTGAAATTGAGGCACCAAACCTTTTTTTGCAGGACCCAGGGACATGAGACATTGAAGAAACAAGGAACAAGGAAATTATATTATGTAATTCTGCATTCAAAAACCCAACTTGATGTCAGTGTTAGGCCATTGAGTTTGCATGATAGTGAAAATTGCCGTAATGGTATTTTGTCTTGACATAAGACCTTTGTTTGGTTATTAGTCCCCTGATTGACAGATGCGGTAATGGAGTTTGTCTTGATGTAAGACCTGTTTAGACCTTGTTTAGTCATTAGTCCCCCGATTGGCAGATGTGATCTACTACCATTTTTGAAAGTCATCAATAATATGAAGATGACAATCATAATCATTAGCAATAATGATAGTACTTACCATAGGTCCAGGCTGATCAATATAAGAGCGATCAAATGCCTATAGGAAAAAATTAGAGTCAAATGTTTTGCAACATTATTTTATACCTAATAATATTGCCACATTCAAATGTGACATTAAAAATATGTGACAGGTTAGTCTTACAATATTTGAACATTATTACCTCTTGTACCAGATACTATTCATAATGAACAACATCAAGAGAGAACCACACAGTCAAATTAGTCACTAAAGCATCTAGTAGTTACAATGTAGAAGTAAATTACCAAGATAATACAAACCTTGATATGCTCAAATTCAAACATGTTTCTCTGGACAAAAGTGTTTTTGATCTTTTGGTTTGTCCATGTAATAAATAGCTTATAGTAGTGATTGGCCTGAAATCAAAGTATTAACACTGCAATTTAGCTTAGTTTATTTTAACTTTCAGTATCAGTTATCTACTGAAGAATATGCAAGGGCAAATGATAAAACCCATCGCTGAAGGTTAAATGATGCCTGCCATATCATAATGACAACTGATTCTTATTGAGCAAGTAACAACCAATGCAAGGGGTGGAGAATGGTGCTTTCAAAAGTAAGAGTTTGTGTTTCTGAGATTTGTGCATTGTATGGTTTTGGAATGACATCTTCCAAATAATATTTTCTATTTTTCTCTTGTGATGAACAATTCATTTAAAGCAGTCTTGAACTGGGCCTTTTTATATAAGAAATGTTAACTCTATGGGCATTGAATATGAGATATTAAAATAATAGCTGGTCTTGTGTGCCTGGATCTGACTCACCAATTGGAAATCAGAAACAGACTTTTATTTTAAGGAAAAATGTGAAACACTAGAATTTTGAAAAATTTATTTAAAGACCTGGCCTATTGGTCTCAATTTTAAATAACCCAACTCTTTATCTCAGAATATCTTAAAGGATCATTTGCCACCTCTAATGCAGCTGTTATCTTAATACAAATATAAAGAAATATAAAATGTTTCTCAACATTATATTATTCAGTTACCTTTTCTGTTAAACCAGTGGAAAAATATATTGGAGCTTTGAGATTCATACGGTCCCTTAAAGAAAAAAAAGTAGTGTATAGGGTATTTTATTAAGTGCAGCAATGCTTTATATTGAACATCTATAATTATAATGTGCTTTTTAATACAAGGCCTAAAATTCCCATCACTGTTGTGGGAAATGTATTGTTCTGCTGCAGAGCCACCTTTTCTTACTGTCTAGTTAAGTGTTGGGTTTATTTACCAGTATGTTTCTAGGAGGATGCAAAGTTCTTGTGCTCTTCCCAGGGCAAACACTGGTATAAGTACCTAAATATGAACATAATAATATACAGTATAGTAATTTTCTGTCCATTCAGTTTTGCTTCCCCTCCTACAGCTCCTTAACATTTGTGCAAGTTAAGATCTGAGCCACTTGTTAAGTTAACACTGTTCTCCATACTCTCTTCCCTGTGGAACTCTGCAAAATTGTAAAAATTATCCTAAGCCATGATGAGCCATTGGCTTTTAGGCACTAGATAATACAAACACAAAAAAGTCCTTGCTAAGTCTACAGGTATGACCAATCAAATTTTGAATGAGTAGTTTTTTGGTATAAGAGTACCTTTGATATTCCTCTACAGGAATGGTAGTTTAAAGAAGAAAAAAAATATCACAGAAAAGGCTCAATCAAGAGGGCTACAATCAAAACTACTGGGCATCCAATGATTGCCCAAGCCTCAATAAAAGAGTAAAATTAATTTAACAATATTTTTTATGACACCTTGGGTTTTAAGTCAAAGTTTCTAAGTCAAATACCAATTCAAAACAACTAACCTTTCCTCCTTTATCAATGCAGTCATGAACTTTCTTGAGAAAGTCACGTTCTCTACATCTGATTGAAGAACATATGATAAATGCAGCACAAATTAGCAATTTGCATTAATAAATGCAAGAAATGTTCAATAGCAGGATAAAAGGATATATTGATAATGTCAATTACTTTTTAATTAACAAGATATTGAGGTTAAATTAACTCCTTGGTTATTATTTTTCATTTCACCTTTTAGAGTCTCTAATGGTTGTTGCATATGTTGATTCTGTTATCAGTACATTGGGCTTGCATTTATCAATCCATGCTGAACTGAAGAAAAAAAAAACATTCATTACTTTTTATTCATGCATGTGCCTGTATGTTGCTTAATTTCCCACAATGGTAGAGGGCATGGCCCCAATTACAAGTTTCTCTATTTAGTCAGTGAATTGCAGTGTTACAGTTTCAACTAAAAAACTGTGCCAATACCACCATCAACTCCTTTTCCTGCATACATTGTGTGAAGTAACTCTACATTTCATAAATTATGCTACTCTAGTACTACAGTATACGGATTCRTTTGCATCTCTCCCATCAAAGTTGTAAGTAACAACATTTCCTCATTGAAATWAGTGGTGTGCCCTGATATCGATCTCAACTGGGGCAAATCCAGGGCGTGGATTGGCTGGCTAGCCCAGCCCTTTTTTGGAAAAAAATATAAAGACTTAAAGTTTTGAAAAAAAGAAATTAAATAACAGGATTATTGTACAACAGAAAATATGTATAATTACTTCCAAAAAAATATAGAGTGAGAAGAACTGTTTGATGTAACTGATGTTTAGATATTCATGAATAATATCTTTCATATAACAGTTTGTTGAAAAGTCCGAAATATTATAGGTGTGCTCGAGATAATGATAAACAATAATTTCACATGAACCTAAAGAGCCGAATTAATTGTATGTACTTTAATACTAAATTTTAATGTTAGCCACCCCCCTCTGAAAAATCCTGGATCCGCCCCTGCTCAGACGGTACCACATCATAACATTAATGTATTTTATTTTGACTATGCAGAGTTATTTTCGACACTGAGCATTGTCTCACTCACCCTAGATGTCTATCTGGAGTCATATTGTAATCTCCCTAAAAATACATATTTTGATAAATACATTGTCATTAATTCTATTTGCAAGTTTGACTGTATGTAAAAATGACTGTAACTATGTATAAACATAAATCACTTTTCATGCTACATTTTTCATCAGAAAATTTCAGCTTTTTTTTCAAAATGTTGTTTCTTGGTGTTCCTATTCCAGCAAACTTGTTAAGGAATTTAGTGTAGCAATGTGCCCATAAATACAATTAAATACAATGCCAAACTGAAACTGCTATACAACACTTGAGCGTCTAAATATTGCACATCAGATCAAAATATTTTAGGATATTTGAAGACCCTTAGTCTTTGATCTAAACCATTCTGGCTAACATGGAATTGTGTGCAAAAAGGTAAAGTCTTCCAGCTTGATGTCCTTTTCCTTTCAGTTACATTTAATACTTATGCTACATACATGGATTAAGATATGTTAGGTTGGAAATTTTCTGCCTGTTTGTAGCATTTTGATAGTAGTAACTTCAGTCACATGACCCTTTCTAATTGGAAGTTTCTTCCATATATATATATGAACTTACAGTGTACACTACAGACTCTGTTCCAACTTTCATATGAAACATCACAGCTCCAAGCACATGACCAGCATAATATGCCTTGATTTCCAATTCATCATCAACCTTTAAAACAGAAAGGTTTTGTTTATTTGCTTAATAATGGACAAAACTTTTACTGCAACAGGGGATACACAAGGTGGGTAGATACATTGGTCTCATAAGTCTATGGTGACAAAAAGAAGCATCCATTTTATACATAACACATCACACTTAATAGTCTACTTGACTTTCTCCCACCTTGAAAGGTAGCTGTGCCTTTCCATTGAGGGAAGATGACTGTTGAGCATGCAATAATAGAAACCAGTGAAGAATTGTCTGTAGATATGAAAGAATGTTTCTATCATTGCACACTCAATAGTCATCTCACTTCAATTCAAAAGCACTGCTACCTTTCTAGATGCTGCAAGGAGAATTGAAGGAGATTATAGGTGACCACTCATTTAATCCAACTCTAYATGTGACCAAACAAAGAATCCCTGYCCATACATTAAATGTATTGAGGTTGGATTAGATATGGTACCATATGGTGTAGTGTTCAAACAAAGATGGTAACACAGGAGGCTAAGGAAAGAAGAAGTGTTTACCTTGATTGATTGATGTAAATTGATAGGGATAACCTTCTTCATGCAGTCTTTGATCATCTAATAAAAATGTTACCATCAAATTATTTCAATGAAAAGATGTGGAAAGAATCAATAAAACAATGAATACATGATGTCATTCATAATATATAATTTATGTCTTGCGTATCGTGCAAACTATTTCACAATACAATAACATTCCATTGTCATATTCGACAGGTATAGAGCAGGATAGCACTGAATCTAATAGGCTTATTGAAAACAACAACAACAACAAGAGGAGGCAAAACAAAGCAAATGTTTTTATATTCAGACCTGTACATTTTCATACTAATGCAATTCTTTGGAAAAATAATATTTTATGACGTTGTATGGTTTAGTTGTTTGAGTTCAGTGTTGAGGACAAAAATCTATTTAATCAATGTACATGTTAATACATGTAACCTGTGAAGTAAAAAAGTTCGTTTCTCCTTTCCTCTCCACTGTTATCTTTCTGTAGTCCTCCTGAAATAAAGAAATAACTCCTGTCAGTTTAAAACTAATGCAAACCAATCATGATATTCCTTTACTCCACAAAACATAGCTATTATTGACAGATACTGATGAAAATATTCAGCATTTAAATGAAAGAATTGCTATTGTATTTACAGAAAGGCTTGTCAAGCATTCTACATTCTATATTCGACATTTAGTAAATTGTGAGTTCATGATACACACTGTATGTGTTGCTTTTAAAATACTCTTATTCAAGTTCTTTTATTGATGATGATGATAGTACTGGTATTAAATGAAACATGCAAATGTTACATACCAACAGAATGGGTGCAATAGCTTTAGTGGGATGTGTCATATATATAGGTCCATCATAGCCAACCATCTCTGAGAAGTATGGTAGTGCTCCACAGTGATCAAGGTGAAAATGACTGAAATTCATTCATAAACATTCAATAATATAGTATGAATTTATAATATTACATGAACAATGAGTTTGCTCAATGGGTTGCACAATGGACAATAATCTTTAATCAATTGTACATACAATGATAGCCTGGCTTTAGTAAGAAACTTGTAGAAATGGGTAAACTATTCATATCCAATATGATCTACTGACCTTATTAGAACACAGTCAAGATGCTGTGTTAGTCTACCTGACCTTGAGATGTATGAAAAGTCAGGAAAGCGCCGCTGAAATGAATCAATTAATTAAAATAATAATCCATAGTGAAAAGGATGATACATTATATAAGGGAAGTAAGGGTGGCTGATCTATGGACCCTGTTCGAATCTTGGCCTGAGTGCCATAAGTGATTTGAGTTTCTTTCATTCTCTCCCTTGCTTCAAGGGTTTTTCCGGTTCTTTTCTGTTTTTTTCCTCCCTCAGTAAAAACAAAGCATTTGTATCTGCTGTGCTCAGTCGATGTTGCTATGTAAAAGAAGCGCCTAGCTGGCAGCATGCCTATGTGAAAGTGTATGTAAAATTTGTCTGTAATATAGCAATTCAGCATCCGTGCTGCCATGAAGGATGAAACTCCTTTATTCATGTTTCTGAAGTATGCTGTCATTTCTACAAGCTAATTTGATACACATCCATCCATGCGCAGCCCCATTCTTGTATACAATGTGTACAAGCCAAACACTAAAGGGCAATTCCACCGTTACGGACATTACATCCAGAGGCCATTTTACAATTTTGTCTTTTCAGCTCTTTCAAGACAAACAATTATAATGTTTTTGCTCTATTTGCTAGATTGTACCTAGGGCATGTCTCTTTCAGTTCATAGAAAAAACAAATGACAAGACTCTACCAGATAATTAATATATTAATTTCAAGGGACATTATAGCTAAAACAACCACTGTTCAAAGTTTATGATTTCAAGTTCCAATTCCTCTGAATTCAATTGGTTCTCAAGTCAATGACCACTATTTTATGATGGACTATGAGYAGAAGTTTTGTAAGATTATTGTACTTTACAGTTCTGTAAATTTGTAACCTAGTAATTGCTGAAAGTATTGTGTTACGGACATTACATAATATGCTACGGACATTGCATTCTGTGAAATATATGGAATGAGACCTAAAAAAATGTCTATTTTCCTTCAATCATGCAATAAAACCACCATATTATATTAAGATAATTATGACCTGTTACTCCTTTTATTCCTGGGCAGTGAACTATTTGTTAATTAGTAATCCACATCTTGAAGGTCTTGAAGTTTTAGAAATTCAGCACTGAAATACTCTCTTTTTCATAGTTCTGTGATTGAAAGGTTTGACTGGTCAATCAGAGATGACAATTACTCAGTCCACAGTTCCTGTGTATTTTTACATGTTTTTGGGCCCATTTGATTTGCAAGGAAACGGGCCATTCCACATTTCTTGTCTTCAAGTTATTGACAAACTCTTCACAAACATTCAAGCTAGCTTAGCTGGCATTTGATTACTATCAATTATGACATGAATTTACTATATTTACTATTATGACACTAATTTACTATATATATTAAATGTTACGTCACTTAACTGTAATTAAATACACTGACAATATATTTCAAACTTTTCCAATTTGTTGCACCTTGTCATAGAATTGAGCATGTCTCCAGAATACATATTATGCTTAGCTGTCACACAAAAGATAATTATAATGTGGCTCGACCTCTGTAGGAGATGAATTTCATTACATTATGTCCTGCAAATTTGAAAAACTTGAGATATTAAGGAAAACATTTTTACAAAACCTAGGGTTGATAAACCAAGTTTTCAATGTATTTGATGATTTTGATCTTTTAAAATATCTCTTGTCAATGAAAGATGAATCTATTACAAAATTATTTTCCAAATATTGTTTTGAAGTTTTAAGTGAAAGTATATATAATGATGAACGTAAATTATTCCTTTATGATTGTAATTATATTTTTAACATCTTATTAGGTGTATTGTTAACATTTGTATCTTATGTATCAATTTGATATTTTGAGGATTAAAGTCATTATTATTATTACACAATGATGTAATGTCCGTAACATTTTTGTGTAATGTCCGTAACACCATTTTATTCATAAAACATATAATTATTTGTAAATTTTCTCAGTATGTTATGATGACCCATGACTAGCTAACAGAGGATCTGAGGTACCATAGAAAAGTGTTTTTTCTTTGGCTTGCAAAGTGAATTAAGCTGTCTATTTCATCATTTTGATATGTAATGTCCATAACAAAATTAAATAACAAAAATACACCAATAAAACAAATAACTTTGGAGAAAAGTTATATATTCTGAAACTACATCTTAATATCGAGCTAAATGTAAGTTGGTCTCACCTTTTGTTTCTTTTTATCTAATTTAATTTAGATTGAAAGTTACCCTACTTAGCCATTATTTCATATTTGAAAAATCAAGGAACTTCGCACGCCCCAGGGAGACCTAAGAGACCTAAGGCCCCCTGAGACCTAAACCCAAATGAATGAAAAATAAACCATTGAAAAAGAGAATTTGAATTCAGTCTATTAGCGGAAGGTTTATAATTTCATTTTAATCTTATTGATGTTCACTCACTTCATCATTGTATCCCATATGCATCCCACAATCCAACATGATATTCTTGCCCCCAATGCTAACCAAGATACAACTTCTCCCAACATCTGGCAATAATAACAACTGATTATTTCATATGGTATACAAATCTAGGCTGAATAGTGATTGAAAGTGTGATGATACAGATGGATATAAACAATATAGCTGTAACCATCAGTAGACAATGCCACAGTGGTAAAATCTCGTTTTTTCAAGTAAATATCAAAACCCATTTTTTTGAGTATATTTAACAAAAGAATGCCATCTTATTTATGATATCTACGGTTTGTACTCTTGGTTATAGTTGAAAGAAACCTACAGTATAAACCTGGTCAGCTCATTGCTTTTATTTAACAAATTATATAAAAYGCCGCCTGTGTCTCTGTTCTCTGATATAAACATGGTGAGAGCAGAAAAACATGAGAGAAGCAAGCTTTGAAGCTTCTCTTGCTTTTTGAGTGCTTTTCAACTCCCACCAGGTTATATCAGAGGACAGAGACAGAAGTGGCTGTTTTAGAGTTTTTTATATTTTTTTTCTGTTTTTTGAGCGAAAAACAAAGTTTGTTGGTAAGTCATGTCTCTGTCCTCTGATATAAACACGGTCATCAGCCAATCAGAGCGCGAGTTATATAAAAAAAATTGAAATGACTTATCACACACAAAAGAACTACCTTATTTCATTATGACCTCACAGAGTGTTTACACATTAAGACAAGATGCTCACTCTGATCCGCTCTGACCATCATTGCTGTCCTTATGCCTGAGTTAATTAAAACCCCRCACCTCTCTTACCCTCTTTCTTTCTCTCTATCAATTTTAACGTGCTTTGTGGCCAAAGCTACCAGTCAGTCAAAAGACAAGGGGCTCACATTTCACCTCCTTTCTTGTAYCCTAGTTACTAAAGGAGTGATTTACCATGGTAATATCCTGCGACTCCCCGACAAGGAACCCGCCAAGTGCTATGCTCTATAAATCCCACCACACGGAAAGAGGAGACCATGCCAACCTCGAATGTCATACCTTAAATACATTCAACAGCGGCTGGGGGACGGCGATGGCTCTCTTCGGCCTGACCAGATTGCTGTCAAAACCGTGTGCAGTGGAGAGGGATTATGGTCGCCTGCTCTGCAGGTGAATGATGATGATGATGATTTACCAGAGGGCAAATCAGAGAAGTGGGTACCAGAGGCGTGATTTACTCTTTCTTATTTATGTCTTAAGCCACGTAAATAAACTATAAGAAAGAGAACATCACTCTTCTGGTACCCAGGGTACCTTCAGGGTACCTTCAGGGATTCGCCTGTTAAATTTTCCCTTGTAACTGGGGCATTCACAATTATTCTCTTGAGAAAAAAGTGAATGCCACAACTAAGGCCCTGAGGGGTGCAAGTATTTTAATCGACTCATGCATAACCTATAGAATGTTTTGATGTCAAGTCATAATTAAATAGGGCAAATGAASACAGAGAAKAGCAAATTCTTTCGTTTTCCCTAAGCCTTGTCCTAAATTCTTTTGTGGATATTAAAAGAATTCAACTAGGACCAACTAGGGCAAGGTTTTTTTATATGTTTAYGTGCAGTGCATTAATTAGAAAACCCTTATACTAAATGAAATTATCACACACTTACCCTGTCCAGCTCCTGATAAGATAGCATGATGACATAGGCAAAAAGAAAATTAGTTATTTTAGTAAGATTAGATATTGACTGTATCAATATTCTAAATATCTAGAAACAGGAATCCCAGTCCTTGGCGAGATTATAGAAGACACGTGCAAATTGCATTTCGAATTCCGCAAATAGTCCCTGCTATACAGACCTAATGGAACAATATTRATATTTGGCATCTTAAATCAGAACACCATCRCTGTCTCAAATATGTAGTGGCTGGATGGATGTGCACACTTTCAAACTGTTGTCACGATATGTCACTTTGCCAAAACCGACATCGCTGATCATGAACTGCATGCGCTTAGTTTTCCTAACGTACTCTGCTGACCAGTGTTGAATTATTTATGCAAATTATTTCCGTAAAGTCTTAGGATCCTGTTGTCTTCTTTATTTCAAAGTATTTTAAAGTTGCTAATAACCGAAAGCTTTATATAAATTATGACGGAGCGAAAGTTTCGCCTAGACGTTGTAGTGGACTCATTCACAAAAGCCAAACAGGAGGATGGTTCCATCGTCTTGGACGAGTACGTACGAGGCTATGATGAACTATGTATCTTTTTTGATTCTCTGGGATCAGTATTTGGATTTATTACCTCCGATGTACGCGATAAGATAGGAATCCTAAAGCACCACAGATCAAATGAAAATGGAAAGAACTATGATATGGTAAAGCGAATGTTTGATTTTGAAGTGGAAAAAAATCTAACCGCGGCTCAGACGAAACCCCTATCCGGATCTCGAACTTTGCTTCGCTTACATAGAGCTCTTGCTTTCACTGTGCTGTTTATGAAAGGTCTAAGTGAAGCTAGTGATAAAGATGACTCATCTAAGTTAGCTGCAGATGCATATAACGAGACATTAGCTCGCTATCATCCGTGGTTAATCAGAAAAGCAGCTCTTCTCGCCATGTACACTTTGGATAACGTTGGGGACATGATAAAGAAGGCTTCCGGAGGGAATGCCAATGAGGAAGAAGCAAAGAAATTATTAAAAGAAGGAGTAGATGCAATTCAACCAGTATATGATGCTACTGAGGCGTTGTACACTAGTTATGATTTACATGGTTTACCATAATACTTTTCTGCTTTAATAATTGCAATCTTTTTGAATATAAAACTCTACACCTGTTTGCAAAAATGTTCACACAAATGAAAATCAAAATATTACAAGAAATTTGAGTCGTTCATATAAATGTTAACATCATGTGTTTATTACTGGCTCAGTTAAAAAAAACACACACTGAAGTATTCTCAAGAACCCTTGTAAAGGGACACTGTCAATGGATGACATGCGC